CAACTATATTTTAATCAAATACTTTTTTTAAAGATTAATTAATTTAATCCTTACAACATCTCTTTGAGGTAGGCATTTTATGGTTAAGGAAACTGAGTCACGGAGAGATTAGGTAACCTGCCTAAAGACCCACAGTTCACAAGTGAAAGAGCCAGGATTTAAACAAAGGCCATCTCTCCTCTTAGCCACTCTGCCGCAGAGTTTAAATTTAGCTCCAATAGTCATCCCTTTCTCCCAAATTGTCATTTTCACTCTGGCTAACTCCCTTTTCTTTTTCTCCGTATATGACCAAATTTTGCTGATTACTCTGAGAACAAACCAGCCCACTGAGCTCAGCTGTTCTCTGCACCAACATGCAGCAGCTCTAGCCTTCCACAATCTCACTAAACTCCAAGGTTACTCTGCAGCCACCACACTCTTTCCTGGGCAAGTCTAAAATAGCAAGAGCATGGAGAAATACAGCACAGACATTAGCTGGGAGAGTATTAAAAAAAAAAAAATACATGAGGCCATTGAATTTTCTGTTAATAATAAGTTGCAGTGCCCCATTGAGTTTTCTGTGTCACCAAATCCTCCCCGTTGTAGTTACACAAAGGCAACTTTGTCTTGAGAAGGCTACTGAGAAGATGGGCCTAATCTTGGCAAGGGCTTGGTGTACCAAGAACCATGTTGTTATTTTTAAAAATAAATGACAACAAACAAAAAGTAATATTACTTAAGCCGTCTTTTCCAAAGTCACAGTGCTATTACTATCACTAACATGGATCGCTACTCTTACAAACATGAATATTTCACCTGAGTGCGAAAGGCCTAAATATATATTTTTCAGAATGGCAATCAAATTGGTCTAAGAGAGTGAACACCTGAAAAAAAAAATCCATTTAAATACTTCTTTATTTCTTTTGGCATAATGTGAAATGCTTTACAAAAATGACCAAGCCAGGTCTCAGTGCTCTGAAAGCTAAATGCTTTTTGTTATAATTTTTACAGGTTGGCATTTCCTTTGTCAGGTAAAGGTTCCCTGTTCCTGTTTCAGCTGCACAATGGCCCACATTCATTGTACAGCCACCCTCTGCCCATTGGTACCTATAGTTAACTCTTGCTCACCCATGTGTGGGTTATCCATGGCTTCTGGGATCATGCTGTCTTTCTCCCTAGCTTGTGGAAACTTCAGTATGAGCAGTACTGACTACTATCCAAAGGAAAGCACAATCAGGAGGCTAAAACTGTCAGCAACTCCCTTTTCAGTCAAATACACCCACCAGGCACCTACTACGGGCCTCTGCATTGGGCCGCCATGTTCATAAGAACCACAAACACACAGTGTCCCCAAAGACAAATATCATGATATGAGTAGACCAGAGATTGTTTTCTTGATTAGTGTGAATGACTGTAATTTATAAAGTATATATTTGACAGTTTCCCAAAGTCACAAAGGGTTTTCAGAGTTACACTATCACTTTGTCTTCTCCCGATGTCATCTCTTAATGGCCTTTGGAAAGGTAGGGATTGTACTTTTGATTTCTAAAATGATGACCCCCTCTTAAAACCTGATATGATCTACCAAAAGGGCAACTATAAACTGTAGTCAATCATTTCTATTATAATTTACTTATGCTTTGTATTTTTCAAACACATAAATTGTATACATCTAAACACATGCACAAATCATTTTCCCATGAACTTAGTCCCTATGATGATAAACTGAAAACTGAAAATCCACAACAAAAAAAATGCTCATCTTATATACACAAATTACAGACACTAAGCTGTGATTTTTTTTTTCAGGTGTCCTTAAATCACTGCAGAAAGTAGAGGAAAGGCAGAGTGGGAGTGGGATTGAAGCCTTTCCTAATCAGTTTACTTTTAGTTGTACCAAGAGATGGTATCTTGAACGCATTCAAATTAGCCATCTATTGCAGTATACGAAGAGCATTTGAATTACAAAAGGGGCGGGGGGGTGTGGATGAGCTTCAAATCCCTACAGTTGCCAGTTCACCTGCAATAGTTTGAGGGCACTGATAATCTCCATGTGAGCTTTCTGGTAAATTCCACATTACTAACAGTGTTTGGAACTCCCCTGTTTTTTTTACCATTTATTCCTTCAGACATTCTCTCTCCTTCTACTTTCATTGGAAAATTCCTCCCTTATCCCTTTTTCAGGGCATAATATAAGAAAAGAGGGGTACGCTGACTCCAAAGGGAGAATATGTTTCCCTGTCTCCTCTCCCCCATACACATGCTGACAGACTAGAAGGGGAAGCAAGTATGAGAGAGAAGTAGACACAACCAGAAATCAAGCTCAGATGACCTCCGGAGTGTTTTACTGACAAGATGATTCACGACCACACACACAAAGGGGCAGGGTGCCATTTCCCCCTAAATCCCTCCAGCAAGAGATGTTTCCAACAAGTTGAGGTGGCAATTGGACAATTACTTATTATCATTTCTACCATAGTTCTCTAGAGATTCTAAAGGCCTCCTATCTTGTGACCCAAGTCCTTTGTATTGTCATTATGGAAAATCTTTTTCCAGTTGTTCTTTGAAGCAATTACTCTGAGCAGGTGGTTGTTTTGACTAACACACACCTCTTAACAATATTAAACCAGAAAATCAACATCATCATAAGACACAGAGACTGCTCCCAAGGGGAAAAATTTATCTCTTAATCAGGCCAGCAGTTGAAACATTCCAATATAACCTTTAACTTGGTGTCATTCTGACAAACACTTTTTAAACTATATTACATCTTCATTGTAACCTCATAGATGTTTTGGGCACAAATTCTACAGTCATGAAAAAAATGTACTGTTTTTCTTAGTTTTATGAATCCCAAACTTAAGACCTCTTCAGAGTAAATCCCCCCCCCCCCCCAGGATTGTGCATTCTCTGGGAAAACCTAATCACAGTTTCACTTGAGCCTTGGTTCACTTTTGAAGAGATCTCACTCCCCCACCCCCACTCCTCTTCAGCACCCCTGCATTTCATTCCCCTGCCTGGTCCTGAAAAATCAGAAGGGACTTGAAATGTGGAGGTGGAAACCTGTCTGAAATAGCCAAATATGTTCCTATAGCAATCAAAGCTCAATCACTGGGGATATGATTTACTTTTAATCTTCAGTCAAGAGTAGAATTTGGAAAGCAAACTCATTTTGTAAGAGAATAATTTCATCTATGTTAACCTTCTAATCTTTGTTTAAATTACCCAGAACAGGATCTGTTACTAGTAAACCAAAGAGAACAGTCTAATCTGAACGTTCTTATCACGTGAAGTGGTGGGGGGGAAAATGTGAGTAGTCTTAAACACTAGTTAGGCCAAGTGTATAGGAGACGTGGCCAGAAGCACAGCTTCTTTGCTTTGTATCTTTATTTCAGCCTCAAGTGTCACCAGCTTATTTCAAAATTTAGTCTAGGACAGCACAGAGGGGAATCAAAAATAAATACATTGACTATTAAAACTAGAGACTAAAGTAAAATGATGCCAAATTTTCAATCCTACAAACTTCTGAAAACTCAACAACCAAGAGAAAGATAAAAAAAAGTCTTCAAAATTTTGATTCTTTTTCAGCATATGTTAAAAAAGACTCTTGAGCAGATGAATTTAAGTGTAGCCTAGACAGGTATAGAAGCATGGCAGAATTAGGCTGGCAAGCTTTGTTTCTATAGCTTATTTCTTCATCTAACAAATATTGAAAGTTAATAATGAAGGTAGGCTCTTGTGAAAGTTCTGATTCCTCATTCTCCCCAGGTGCAGTAATTAAGTCAAAGAGGCCAGCGGGAGATATATCAGAACAAGGTGAAGGATAAGGTAGACAGGACAGAATACAAAACCCCAAACTTCTTTCTTTCCTTTCTCCTGTTTCCCTTTCAGACTGGTTTGGTTTCGTTCCCTTCCAATATTTCAGATCATCAATTTGACACAGAGTATTGTTTAAATTAATAGCAGCATTATCTCCCAAAGTGTTATCTCATTGCCTTGGTTGGGTCCTTTGGTTTGTCTACAGGTTGTGTTTTAGGCCGCTGACAACCTTTCACCTTTTGGAATCAGCACCTGCAATTCTCAAATGCTCTTGGTCTAGTTGTAATTGTGCTTAAAACTGCGGCAGCCTCTTCATGTTTGTGGTGTCAACTCTTTGCTTTCTCTCCCCTGAAAACTTCCTGCGACTCAAACATTCAAAATTTTAAAGAATATAGTATCATTTCTAATCTACATTCCTGATAAAGAAAACTGAGTGAGTCATTAAAATGTCACTAGAAGAAAAACTACTTGATTTTCCCTTCAAAGCAGTATGGCCTATAAGTAAGTAGCTTGAGGTTACTATCTTTCTATTGCTTTGATAAGCCGAAAGAAAGAAGCCTTGGGACAGTCCCCAAGAGTAGATGAACTTTTACCTAAATAAAAGAGGAATCAGTTATTTGAAAAAATTCCATTTCATTTATTGTCACTGATTTCTTAAATATCTGGTGACTGGGGATTGGTCAGCTGTCATAATTCATCAGTCCTATACTTCTATGCAGATTGAATTTTTAACTTGAAACAAGTAAGCCTCCGCTCACTGTTACAATACATTCGGAGGTAAATTACTACAGGAAGACATCTCCCACCATCCTTAACACTTTAATGAGGTGCCTGTCATGAACGTTTCCGCAATCTCACTTTAATAATCTGAGTCTAAAAAGTCATCTGTGTCTCTGGATGGCCCAATCATGTGTTTTCAAGGGTAAAAAAAAAAATCTGGTTTTTGTATGGAAAATGTTTTGGTCACTACAGGAAACATGGTGGGGCTGACTATATATGATTTTCTGCTTTTCCAGGAGCTGACACTTTTTAAATCTTTTCATAAACCATTTCTTTCCCGCTAAATATACCAGTCTGAAGGAAGGTGGTAGTAGAGTGAAAGAGATGAGGGCTAAAGAAAGCAAAGGGAAAAACAATTGCAAATTAGGGACCCCAAAGTAAGATGAAGGGACAGTAGTTAGGATTGCCAAAAACCACCTTACCTTTGTAGTCGCCCACTTCAGAAATTAACACCATTCATTCACAGCCCGGTAGCAATTTACAAGGCTAGCAAGTAACCTACAACATCTTCTCGGCCTCCCTCTTTTTAATGTAAAACCAAAATAAGGAGTGTCCAGTTACTCCCCACTGCGATGCTTAAAGCAACAGGTCGTTTTAGGCTTAACTCCCAGGCTCTGGGAATTCCAGTTTGTCAGAATTTCTTAACCTTGGAAACCTGCAGAGAGAAACTCTCAGCGAGGACGACTCCCCGAGCCCCGGCTTCTCAATGTCCCAAGCTGCACATTCCAACGAGGGAAGCAGGATCGAGAATCAGAAGGCCGCTCTCTGGGGCTAAATTCCTGGAGGGAACGAGAACTTGAAAGTGGGGCGATCCCCCTGGCAGAACGGCGCCGGGTCCGCACCCCGGGGAGACCAGCGGCCCCGGGAGCCCTGCTACTCCGGCGCTGTGCACGGGGAGCGCTCAGCGACTGGTCTCGGAGCTCTTCCCTGTTCCCTCCTCCCCCCTCCCGCTGCCCTCCCCCGCTGAGGCCAGTCGCCTCACAGTAGCAAGGTTGTCTCCCGTCTACTCCCTTCCCTAAACTCACCAAACCAGATTTTTACTCCCAGCACTGGCAACTTCCCGTAAATCTGCACTGAAATTTTATCCTGCTCGCTGAGCCTCCGCTGGCTAAAGGCCAGTGCAACATTCCTGTTGTTTTTGGGAGCCCAGATACCTTTGCTGAAGGTTAAAAAATAAATCTGCCTTGTTGGGACAGATTTGGAGACTTCACCAGACAGATTTCTCTCCCCGCTCCAAAAGTCACATCTATTTCAGACACCCGGCGATGACCCCAGAAACGGCACCTGCTGCGCCTGAGGATATCTGTCCGAATCAGATGCCTGGTCCCCTTTGGGTTGTTCGGAGAAACCAAGCAGAACCATGTTTGAGGAATAAGGAACCTGCTGTTGAATCACCGATCCAGCACCGCCCCACCCCCGTCCTGCCCCCTAGAAAAGATGTCGTTTCACCAGGTAGGATCAGAGCGAGCACCGCGGAGCGCCTGACAGAAGGGGGGACCTCCCAGCGTGTCCTTACCTGAAGCCGAGCACCGCTCCGACGAATGCAGGAAGGAACGTCACGCGGACGGAGCCCTGACCTTTGCCGGGGCCTTCGCAGCGGGGCCTGGGGCCTGGGGCCTGGGCACTGCTTGTTCAAAAGTGGCTCATTTTAATGCGCTCTGCCCTAAAGTTACAGCTAGTTGTAGAAAGGGAACAACAACAAAAACGCTACATTTAAAAACAGCAGCTAAGCCCTCCCTTAACCTTTCCTGATCTCTAGGGAGTTGGTTCTAACCCCCACCCCATCCCCATCCCAAAGAAGCCTGCAATCTGTGCCCCACCCCTTTGCTTTACCTGTTTACACAAGAGTTAAGGAGCCTCACGCATTTCAATAGAGCGCTAAGCCTGTTTGTAGGCGAGTAATCGGCCAACAGGATCGAATTCTGTGACTAAACAAACTAGAAGAGGAAGCAGGCACCACCAGGAACCTAAAACGGAGTTGTGATTTCGGGTTGCAGTGTCATTCAACTGAGAAAAAAAAAAAGTACTCCTTCTCATTGGGCTATTTTAGTGAAGGACTAGTCCAAAAAAATGTTTTTTGCTGGTTAAATGAGTTAATACATACAAAGAGCTTAGAACAGTGCCTGGCATGAGAGTTAGCTACTACTACTATTATTTGTATTTGTACTATGGCTTTTCTTCTGAAGAGAGGGAGTGGCCAGAGTTAGAAGTGGGCTCTAGACTCAGCAGTAGTAAGGCTATGAGCATTGTTTTGAAACCTCGCCCAGCCTCAGTTTCTGGAAGATTCCAATGATGAGAGTTTTGCTAACAGTTTACACTGTGGACAGTCTTGAATACAGTGGTAAGAAAGTTCCTGTAAAGGAGTGTCCAACTGATTTTCATCTCACTTAAGAGTTGCAAAATTGACAAGATATGTGGGGATAATTTGGCCTGTACATTCCATGGAGTTCACTAATACAAAGGAAACTCAGGACACAGCAATCAACCCTAGATGTGTGCTTCATTTTAATTAGGATTTAGGCACTTGATTTCCTGTCTGTCCCTGGGAGAGTTCCTTATCCTATTCAGTTAGAAGCCCATGCTAGACAAACAATGGTCATTGACATTTGAAAAACAGTGTGAAATAGGGGGAAATAATTTTTAAACTCCTCATGAATATTAAAAAGTGATTATTGATGGTTAAAGTGTGATTAGTGTTGACAGGACACCCTTTTCCCTCCACTTAGCTTCACTTTTAAAGAAGAAATCCCTTTACATCAATGAGGCCCTTTGTGCTTTACCAAGCACTTTCATCCATCTCATCTTATCTGATCTTACAAATCAATCCCAAGAACTACTTTACACCCGTTTTGCAGATTAAGACACTGAGGTCAATTAGTTCAAGGTTTCATTTCACCATGAGGCTGGGACTAGTTTGCAGTTCTAGTTAAATCTAAAAGCAACATTTGCCACTCTTAGGGAAAATGATTCCTTAAAACTAGCCAAGAATTCTGAAACATTTTAGATCCCTTTGATTTTTTTTAATCTTCCCAATGGCAAGATTTAACTCAGATCAATTAAACGTTTTCTGACTTTTAGAGTCATTGCTTGTCAATACAAGCCAGAGTGAACTATCAACAGGCAGGCAGAATATTCCAAGGTTCTCTCACCATATCTAAAGATTGACACTACCAGGCATCAACAAGGACTCCACCATTTTAAGACAACTTATAAAAACTCTAGTCCTACGTTAGCTTTTCTTTTCTTTTCCAGAAGTACTGGATTGTGGCCTTATAAGCCTCTCACTGTCGGGGACCCTCTGAGTTAAAGAATTCAAGAGGGGACATTCTCAAGCTCACAGATTTTTCCACCTCAGAACAGGTTTTACCATAGGCAGCACTGGGCCAAAGCCTGGGGAATAATGACCAAGAATAATAAAATAAGTTTGAAAGTGTGAAGGTCTGTGACTCCAGGTAAACTGGAGCCAGAGTCAGGGAAGATGGCCCCTGAGGAGGCCTAGGTCCCTGGAAACAAGTCCTTAAGGCAGCTCTGAGTTGGTTACTTTCTCTCAAATGTTGCCCAGAACTTCTGTTCCTTTCTTTCTCAGTTTTGCCCACTGCCACTTATTAAATAAATGGGTATAGTTTTTGTGTGAACTGCTTCCCACTACCCTCCCCAGGGATATGGCAAAAATAAACAGATTTTTTTTTTAAATGGGGAAGGCTATGGCAAAAGTAATGTGAGCTGTCATTATTTCTTTTTTGTGGCATTATTATTATTATTATTATCATTATCATCCTCCTCCTCCTCCTCATCATCAGGCGAACCCCATGCTCCCAGGGCATTTCAGGTGTGCAAATTCCTTCCTTTTGCTTTCTGCTTCCTTCTTTCCCTTCTCCCAAGAGGCAATGTGCTAGAGTAAATACAAACAGCATGGAGACTGCCTTCTCACAGATTTGAGTTTAAATCTCAACTTTACCTCCTAGCTATGTGATGCTGGGGAAATTGCTTAACTGCTCTTAGCTTCAGTTTCTTCATTTATAAAATAATAACAATGAACTCTCTGGCTTTCTGTAAGAGTTAAATGAGAGGTGAAATCTTAGCACAATTTCTAACACATAAAAGGTACTCAAATAATGATAGTATTTCCTTTTGTACTGGGGGAAAAACCTACTCTATGGTTCACAAAGAATTGTCTTTCCCATATTTACATCTTAGATCAAATAAAACTATTCCAAGACACCCTTATCAACAGAAGTAAGCCTCAGACCTTTGTAAAGACCCAAAGCATAATAATAACCACTCATCTACATAGCATTTTCAATGAGCTTGATTATCTCTGATCATCACATCTGGGTGAGGTAAATATGGGCAACACACGAATCATTTGTGTTGCCCTATGGTTCAGATTAGGAAACCGAGGGTCTTCAGAGTTGTTCCAAGTTGCGAGTAAGTAGCAGAGCCAGGTGTTTACTGCTTTTTACTATGCCCTACTGCTAGAACTGTGATTACTCTACCCAGTTAGGGAGCAGAATCAAGGCTTCCAAAAGATTCTTTTAGCTCGTAGTTGTGGGGAGAGGGCCAGGAGATTCTGGCCAGTGTCTGGACACTTCTCATTTGGGAGTCATGGAAACCCACAAAGAACACCATCAAAGATTGGCGCCCTATGAAAGTCTGATGTGCTGACCCTGTGGAGTAGGCTTCCAATTCTATGACAAACGGAAGGGCAGCTAGGTAAAGAGTTTGGGCTTGATGTCAGCAAGACCGAGGTTTTTATCCTGGCAGTTGTGGGGTCATGGGCAACTTACCTAACTCTTTGTAAGACTCCGTTTACTGCCAATGGCAATACCTAACTCTAGGGTCACGACGATGATTAAATAAGATGATGCACAGTGCTCAACACACTCTACGTTTTCAATATACGGTGGTTATTTTTCTTAAAGACCAAAGAACACGTACAGTGTACATGTGAGGCCTAAATCAGGCATATGATAAATAAATGCAAAGAGTTTAGAACAATGCCTGGCACACAGTAATTACTGTTTCACTCTTTGTTATTATTACTGTTGTTATTTCTCTGTATAACAATTTCTTGTGGCTGTGGTGAGGTCCTGGTAAGCTGCTGACTTTTTAGGGGAAGGGAGCTTCTGTTATTTAGGTCTTATGAGGGCTGACATTTTAGGTATTGTCTTACAGTGTGATAAGGGATATCTTCTCAATGGTTTTATTTTTTACCTGTTTCCCTCATTTCCCCTAATTTTACCTACAAAAGAAAAATTATTGTAAGGTGGGATAAAATCACTGACCCTAGCCCAAACTTTCTGTTGAATCTGCTGATACTTTTCCCAACAGAAACTATTCAGAAAATAAATCCTATTGTCACCTAGATCATGTAACTTGACCCAGAGAGATTGCTCAACCTCATCGTTTCTATAGCCTCTCCTTCCCTAATATGGTGGCCACTAGCTACTCATAGAAGCTTTTTAAAAAATCTTTTATTTTTTAAATTTTTATGTTAAATCCCCACTGGATCTACTGTATGCAAATTTAAGACAAGTTATTCCTAGGCACTCTTTACCCCAAGAGATTTAGCCCAGCAACTAACCCTCGAATGCAATCATCAGCCCATAGGTAAAAGGGTGAGGGAGGGCCATTCAGAACCCTGTTAGAAGGGCGTCTGGGTTTGTGGTTTCCATGCCACACCATAGGAGGGCCCCTAAGTGAATTTTAAAAATGTACTGAGTTCACAGAAAAGGGAATTAAGTATAGCAGGGGTTCACTCCAAACATTAATCTCAGAAGCCAAATCCTTCATTTTGAGAAAGGCCTTCAATACAAGGAGTTCCTTGACCTTCGTTCTTCCTGCGTAAACAGCTCTGCCAAAGCCCGCCCGCTAAGGCTGAAGGCTTTCCCCCCCTCTACCTGCCCACATGGATGGAAG